ATACACCTGCTCAGCAGAGCATGACTGAAGACCTTTTCACAGCTGCTGCAAGTTTCTGCATTCATTAGATCCTCCGAGCAGCTCTTGACTGCAGTACAGCAGCTGGATCAATAGTGAGCGGAATAAAATGAAGCACAGCAACAATAACAAAAAATTACATTTTTGGACTCCTTATTTGTGGTATGTTTTCCACACTAACCAGTAAATGTTTTGTTTGCTAATTTACATGAGATGATAAGGTAGTTAAGATTTTAAATGTTTGTTTTTGGCTGTAGCTCAGCTGGCAGAGCAGGTCAGCCACTAATCAGAAGGTCGGTGGTTCGATCCCAGGCTGCCTCCTGGCTGCATGCCAAATATCCTTAGGCAAGATACTAACCTCGTGTTTGCCTACTGGTGGTGGTCAGAGGGCACGGTGGCGCCAATGTCCGGCAGCCTCTGTCAGTGCGCCCCAGGGCAGCTTTGGCTGCAATGTAGCTTACCGTCACGTGTGTGAATGACTGAATGTAGTGTAAAGCGCTTTGGGGTCCTTAGGGACTGAGTAAAGCGCTATACAAATGCAGGCCATTTACCATTTTTAACTTTTTTAATGTTTTTTTCTTCATTTTTCCTGCAGCGGTGGCAGAAGTCAGGGACTCACTTGGAGCACCTCGTCTCCCGGTTCTGCCTGGATTCAGAGATGGCTCTGGACGGGATGGACGATTCCCGAATGTTGGTGATCAGCCCCTGTGAACTGAGCGCATACACGCAAAGATGGGAAGTCCCCTTCTCCTGACCCCTGACCATGTGACCTTTACACCCTCTTAAAAAATGTGCCCTGTCACACTCATCCCTCAACTCAAAGAGAGAATGCTGCTCACACACTGACCATGCATGAGCAATCATGTCACAGTGCTGCATCGAGGATATCTGAATAGAAAGCTGATGAAGACTTTTTTATGGGTCTTTGTAGCATGAAAAGAAATGCAGACCTTTCAGGTATAAAGTCCTGATTTATTTATGAGCTGCACTGGTTTGAAATAATGTTGCTCCAAGAGACGCAGGAAAAATGTGTGGTTTGGAGATTCAAGTGTCTGTATTGGAGAGTGAAAACCAAGTGCACCTTAAAACCCAGAACTTTCAAATAGCTGAGATGGACAAAAAAAAACAAACAAAAATAACAATCATAGAATGTTTCCTGTGTCTTTTGCAATCTGCTTTTAAAGGATGTTTAATAAGCTGGAAATTAAAACCAAGCACAGCTCGAGGTTTTATTTCAGTTGGTCAAATACCTGTCACTGTCTTTACTGCAGCATCCCAGTCGGTTTCTTACTGGGATCTAACCAGAAACTCACCAAAGTAAAGCCCCAGTAAACAGCACAAAATGTGAAATCTTTAGTCTGTCACACCAAGCGGGATGCAGTCATCTCCAGTCTGGAATATATCCTAAGGTTTTTGTTTCTTTGTTTGTTTTGTTGCTTGGCTTAAGTTTTCATTTACTGCTTTGGGAATGGTCTCAGTTATTGAGGTTCTCAATTATGAGGACACTTTATGTACAAGTAACCCCTGTGATCCTAAAGCTCTGGCTCCACCCTGCTCTAAATGCTCCGTTTCGTATCATTTTTTTCAACGGTAGGCTCTTTGTGATGTCAGTGAGAGAGGATATTCCTAAAGTGAGCACAAAAGCCCCACCCATCTTCTGTTCAAACCTTCTGTTTGCAAGGGGCAGCCAATCAGAAGAAAGTAAGCTTAGAACAGCAGCTCCTAGTTTTTGTGGCATATGCCCCATTTTAGAAGCTCAACACTCTTGAGAGTTTAAAAAAAACGGGCGATAACAAAGGATCTTTGTGTGAGGTATAACTCCTCTTATGTTGACCTATAAAGGTCAGTGCAGCAGCATCAGCCAACTATTTTTGTATACTCTGCCTAGTAAAAGCAAACCCAGTTTCACTTCATATTTTTCACCAGGTTGACAGTGTCCCACCTGCAGTGGCTCTGTGCCCCACCTACGGGACCTGCCCCACACTTTAAGAAACATAGGCTTAAAGGGTGGGTGGCCTTAAAGGAGCAGGAACTAAAATGGCCTGTTTCAGAGAGGATGAACTTAGGAGCTGTACCAAGTATGAGATAAAGAAAGATTATTTTGAACTATGAATGATGCAAAGCCACCTTAAATGACTAGAATTGCTCAGTGCTCAGAGTAGAAGAGTGCTATATATATATGCCAAAACATTTACCATTTACCAAATAAAAATTAGGAAATGGGAATAGGAATGCTGACTTTTAGAAAGCTTTGCACCTAAACACAGTCTAGATCTAGAGTAGTTTCTGTACGCCAACCAAGGCTGCCTACTCTGGGACTGCTAGAATTCCCATATTGTTAGTGTTATAGGGTTTGCACAGTGGATGGAGCATTTTAATGGGTTCTTTAAATGACTGTAACTTCCCCATTAAAACTTGGCCTCATGCAGCTCTCTTGGCCATGTGAATAGCTTTGATTGCAGAAATATGAAGAAGAGGATGAAAAGGAAAGAAATAAACAATGAGGGGAGTCACATTAGGTAACACAAAACCTGGAATTTAGAGCACGCCCTGGCTTAACTACAGGATGTAGCATAAAAGCAGACAGGACAGAGCTACAGATGCAAATATGGACAAACAGTCACAGTGGAAAAAAATATGTAAGAGGAAGAACAGCATGAATGCAGCACATGTCGGAATATCTACATGCTGGTAAATCAAATCAGCAAATTTCTGATTCCTGTTGCCCAAATGAAGCAGCTGCTTCACACAGCTGCTGTGCATGTGAGACTTTTTATACACAGATGAGATTTTTTCACCATAATTACAAAGTATTGATATTTATCAGGCAAGTTTGGTAAATTAATAAAAATGATGCTATTTAGGGTTTATTTTAATAAATGTGTCCACTCTCGAGGCGTGCTATGATGCAACCAAACCTTTTGTTTTTCTCCTACCTGAGATTATTTCTGAGCACTCTGAATGGGCACGAGGTTGGGCTGGTGGAGCTCAAACCTGTGGGAAGAGTCAAAATCCAAACTGGTGTTAACTGCAAGTCTTCTCTAAATCGCCTCTCTGTCTGTTCACACAATGATTTTTAAAAATTGTAGAACTTCTTTGCGGTTCAGTTACATAATGTGTTTGACATCTTCAGCATCAGTTTGATATCCTGTTTGATTCCTGAATCCTGAATAAAGCTTTTATAATGGCTGTTTCTATTTTATTGACATGCTTATTGTGCAAACTGTGAGCTGCTGTTGGTGCAAACACAGTGCTGCTCAAAATATTTACAAAACTACAACTAATCTTTTCTTATGTTTTACCGTTTACACAGTTAGGTCCATGTTTGGACTATGGCACATTTTCTTGTGATCGTGCATCCTCACAGTACACTTTATATTAATTCATTAAATTTAAGGGCTTTAAAGTACTGCAGTAACAGGTTAGAATTGCACAGCCTCATGTTTGTTTATAATGCAAGTATGGTGTCATATATTAGCTTCAGAAATACAAGGGTATTTCCTTTGAGATCTGCAGCTGTGGTTGTGAAACCTCTGTGTTCAACTTCAACAGAAATCCGTTTATCTTAAGAACCAACTGGTTATGAAGGTCACACCTTTACAACCAGTTGTACATCCTTTATAACTAAGAGTGTCTTTGACAGTGAGGACCTGACTGTTCACACACTGGCTGTTCTGCCCTACATCAGCGTCACATAGAGCAGAAGCCCTGGATGAACAGTCATGTCAAAACACTCCTCAAACCATGCAAATCTGCTTTTAGGTCCACCATATTACCAAATTCAGGGGACAGTCCAACACAGTTGTGGACCTGAGCATGCATTAACAAAAGAACTAAACACCTTCTTCTCACACTCAAAGTCTACTTTAATCATTCCTGTTCCCAAAAAATAATCTACAAACAGCCTTAACAACTTCCACCCCAATGCACTCATACCTGTCTCATACCTTTAGGAGGCACATAGCAGACCTGCCTCCCCTCTATATAAACAGTGACTGTGTGGAGAGAGTTCAGGATTTCACATTTCTGGGCACTGTGATCTCTGCTGACTTCTCCTGGGCTGCAAACACCTCCACCACTACCTGAGAGTGCTCAAAAGGAACAGCATCTCTGCAAAGCTGCTGGTGACCTCCATCACTCAGTCATCCAGAGCATCCTCACATACTGCACCACAGTGTGGTTCACACACTGCACCCAGGATGAGTGGAAGAGGTCAACACAGTGCAGGAGTTCATCAGCTGCCCTCACCCCTCTGTTGCAGACATCTATACATCCCACTACTGCTGCAGAGCTGATGCAATCACACAAGACTCCACCCATCCTCCATCCCACCTGTTTGATCTGCTGCCCTCTGGGAGACTCTACAGGTCCATCCAAACCAAGACTAGCAGACTCACGAACAGTTTCTTTCCATGAACCATCGCTGTATTGAACACACGTGCACCCCAGCCAAACTCACACATCATTACTGCTCACTCTCATACAACACACACACGCACCCGCTTTCGGATCTATATAACCCCTGTACATTTGTATAGTTTTATAGTTGGTATTTTTGTTTTTATTGGGTTTTTTTTCTCATTTATTCTAAATGCTACTACCATGTAGCTGCTTCTAATTTCATTGAATATTTGATGTTTAATGACAATTAAACAATTCATGACAAAGGGATTCTGATTCTGTTTGGTTTAAGTTTCTTTGTCTTCTTTAAGGAGTGTCTTTTGTCATGAACTTAGACCATTGTCAACACACAATGGTCCGTGCTGCCCAGATTTTCGAGTTTTAAATGCATCATTATAGGCTCTCCGTCGGTTTACACAAGCCTTCATGTAACTCAAACAAATTCTGTGAATATACACATGGGGACGATTTTTGTGCTTACACCATAGTACTCTAAATCTGAAAATGAGCTAGAAAATCATTTGTGAAAACTGGGGAACAAAACTGGAACGAGTCAGGGTTTGTTTGTCCAAACACACACACACAGAGAGAGATACCGTTCACTGCCTCTGTGCCCACTCCTCAGCTCTAACAAACCACTGCTTCTCTAGCCACACTCAGCAAACTATTACTCCGACACAAGACAGCTCTATTTCAGATTTCAACGACGCATTATAACAGAAAATGACACAGACTGGAAGGTGACATTTTGTGTTTAAAGAGGCTTTAAACGACGCCGCTGTCTTCGAGAGGCTCGCTTTTACGTAAGTACAATGACCTTTGTTTTAATTCTCCATTCACGGCGCTTTCAATAAAGAATCCTAGCTGTTGACACAATTCACGGGTTTCTTTAATAATGAGTCGCTATCGCTTTTATAACTGATAACCTCAACGTTTGAAGTGACATTTCACAAAGCGCTCGATAAAAATGTATAAGCAATGGTAAGCTACGTTGCACCCGGACCACTTTCCGCACCGTATCCGGTTGTCTGTAGTACCTTCAATAGTTCGCACCATATCACTCACTGTTAACTAACTCAAGTAAAAGACTACAACATCCAGCGCGAGAAAGAGACGCATGCGAGAGTGATGGTGATGCATTTATGTAGCCTTGAAAATGTTGGGAGTTGCGCTACCAGCTTTGGCAAAGAGCAAGATTCCTCTGTAAAAGCGGTTCTGAGTGTTTGTTTTGTTAGCTGTCAGCCCACTCTTTAATATTGTGACACACCTTTTTTGTAGCTACACTGGTACGTTAGCACACAAAATCTGCGCCGTATGTTGTCCCTGTTGGATTTGACGAAAAATACTGACGGTACATGAAGCCAACGCCTCATTCCGCGCTTTGTTTTTACGTTTAGTTACGTAGCATTTCGGGGACTCGACTTGTCTTGATCTGACTGCAGATTCAATCTCAAAGGTCGAAACTTCCATCCTGTTTTCTCGTTGTGTCTGAAAATGCACCCAAGCTGAGGCTTAAACAAAGTCGCCGATGACGACACGTAAGTCGACGTGACCTAGCAGCTCCGGGTTAAAAACTAATCGCTGTGTTTGAGTTCTGTTAATTTTCAATGCGGTTGAAATCATTTTTAATAAACGCAACGTCAATTTCTGATTGGTGATTCGTCCTTTTAGTATTCGCCTACTCGTTTGTTGTGTAATCCACATTTAAACACACATCAGTTTTAACTAGAAGTGCTCCAAAACAACCAGGGAAGCAGCAGGTAGTTAGGAACTAGCTTAGCCAGCGCTACTTCTGATAGCTGTCATTTCAACAAGGCAGCTAGAAAATTGCATGTTTAATGAAGAGTTCATATAACAGTTTTGATAACATGTTCTTGCACACCTCTGGGCTTTTTGCCAGTTATTTTTGCGATTTTAAACTAAATATATGGTTTTGAAAGTGACTTTTGCCTCCACTTAGATCATTCTCTCATCATGTTATTTCAGACAATAAGTTATCCTTAAATCTTACTGTCAGAAAAAAATGTATCATTTAATCTAACTTGCAGTTAGATAAAAGACATATGGATGTAAAAATAGCAAATTCTCACAACTGAGAACCTGCAGACATTGGCTCCATGTATTGATTTTTTCCCCCTAATGTCTCCCTCCAGTCATCCCATGTTCCTTCGCCGGCTGAGCTCTTTGAGCTCATCTTTCCCACCCTGCAGTCTTCCTGCTCTTTCCCAGGCCCGCTTCAAGAGCAACACTGATTCCTCTGCGTCCTCCTTCCTTCCCCAATTCATTCCCACCCCTCATCCATGGTGGTCGGTGCCAGGGTTTCCACCCTGGCCTTCTCGACTTCCCCACTCCCACCCGTCTGCCCTTGAATCTTTCACTCACAGGGCATTACACCCCCTGAACATCAACCTTGGTGACTTTGGTGCTTGCCGCTCATTCCACACCTCTGCAGGCCACTTGATGGAGTTCCCCGACAGAGACAGAGGGCCGCCCCACAAACGGAGGAAGAGTGGAGAGGAAAAAAAGGAAAGAAAAGAACAAAATAAAGAAAAGGAGGGACCCAGAGGAGGAGCAACTTTGGGTAAGGAGGGAGGGTCCAAGAGGGAGCACCATCACCTAGATTCCAGAAAAGATGGCAGCCTTCGATCTAGTCACCACTTCAATGATGGAACTAAAGACAGAGTGAAGAATAATGTCGGGAAAGATGTCAGAGGGGAAACCAGCAGAGATAAAAATGTGGAAAGGACTAAAAGTGAGACTAAAGACAGACAGCGAAGAGAGAGTGCAGACAGAGATCATCATCATTATCATCATCGTCAGCAAGAAGGACATAAAGAATCACAGCCAGTGATGCACAAACCCAACCAATGGTTCAAAGGGAGGGGGTCTCAGGAGCTGGATGGGCGTCACAGGGACACAAAAGGGACTTCAGAGCAGCAGAGGGATGGATGTAGTGATGGAGGGGAGCCTCGCAGCACCACTCACCCCTCAAACCTGGGGCAGGTACCTGGAGGAAACACGCAGCTCTCTCCACCAAGAAGGGCTGTGAGATGTGAGTCCTTTCAATTATGTTAAGTATAATTACAGTTTTGATGTGTCTTTTCTGCTGCTTGAAAACATGTTGGAGGCAGAGTCTCCATTAAGAGATCAGCTAGGAAATGTTTTCCCTCCACAGAGCAATGATCTAAATCTGAAAAAGTCCAAGTAAAAGCAATGGTGGAGGTCCTGTCTGTCCCACAGTGGGAACCCTTTTTGGGGAAAGCAGCTGAATCATGTCAAAGACCAGAACAACAATCTGCCCTGTGGTTTGGAAATGGACATTTTGACAGATTCAATCCCTCTTTTGTGTTCAAAACAGGCTGTGAACCTGCATGGAAACGGTGCCTGTTTCAGTGTAATTAACTGATCAATACAGTTCAGACTAAAAGCAAATTGCACACAGAAGTGCAATTCTTGTCTTCTGGCTGCAGATTCTATTTCTTCATATTTAGAGATTATATTTCCAGCTCTCCATTTATCTCATCTCTCTTCAGCTCTTCAAAGACATTGGGAGTCCTGCAGCACTGACCTCCACCCACCAGGTGACAGTTCGGTCTTTGACTTCTCGGTGATGTCCTACAACATCCTCTCCCAGCAGCTCCTGGAGGACAATGCCTACCTGTACCGACACTGTGACCCGGACGTCCTGCCTTGGGAATACCGACTGCATAACCTACTGGCAGAGATCCAGCACCACAATGCTGATGTGAGGGGATGCAGTGTCATAAAACATATTAGTATGTATAATTTAATGGTCTCAGGAGGAAGTTTTTCCCTGATGTTCAGTGGTAAACCTGGGCTGGGCCATAAAAGGAACATATTATCTACTGGTTACTGGCAATTAAACTAATCAAGTGTTCATTTTTGGGGAGAGTTTATTCATTCCACTTGTATTGATGACTCTTCTCTTTTACTTCTGTTGTGCTTAAGTTTAGAGAGTTACATTCAGTAAAACCTGTTAGGAGTTTGGCCATCACAAGTTACAGGCTGTGCATCCTGATCTTTTAAATATCTTGTTATTCATCTTATCAAAACTTTTCTGATCATTTATAGGCTGCACTGGATCCTTCATCTGATCCTTTATCCTAGGTTATTTGGAGTTGACATTAACGTATCGATCAAGCCCGTTTAAAGCAGAAGTGAAATTGTTGCCACAGAGTTTGTAACACACAGTGGTTCAAAGTCATTGTGCTGCATCATTAATAGGAGTTGCAAACCACCAGAAAACAGCAAAATGCACAGAATGGTGTTGGTAAACGTGTCCATATACTTTTGGCTCTTCATCATAAATTTATGAGAGGTTTTGTTGTTGTTGTTGTTTCGTTTTTTTTAGATCCTGTGTCTTCAGGAAGTGCAGGAGGACCACTATGAAAACCAGATTAAGCCTGCTCTCCAGGCACTAGGTACTGCTGCTCATTTTTGTGGGTACATGTGTGTGCTTGGGAGGGCCATTAAAAGTGAAAGACAAAAAAAGTGAAGACAGATAAATCTTCCCTTCTAACTAGTGCAAACAGACTGTATATTAAAGATGGGTAAAGTGACGTTATTGCCACTCACTGCTTTTCCCTGTTTCAGGACTCGAGCATTTTGCGCCTTTCATTTCATTTTTTTTTTTTTTTTTATCGATCTTGTGAGTTGTGAGGCTGATCACAAACTCAGTTTCACTGTCACATCCTAAATCACAACCTGCTTTATTGGTTATTTTACTTCAGATGGAGCTGAAAACTCATCATAAAAGTGTTTTCTGAGGTTGAAATTCAAGCAGTGAAGTCAGTTATTTTCTCTTGGATGTCTATACAGTCTTTTTTCATTGGAGTGTGAATGTGTTGACTGGAAAGCACTTAGTCATAGACAAAAAAGTGCTTGGGTGAATGTGACGTGTTGTATAAAGCATGCTGAGCTGGTGGGAAAAGCAATATATAAGAGCCAGCCCTGGTTTAAGGCCTTTTTGCTGTGGTAAAATTAGATATAATTTGATTGTTTTTGTCTGTGATATTTCTTTGTCATTTATTTATGATATTTTTAATATCATAACCCATCTTTGTGTGTGTTTGTCAGGTTATCACTGTGAGTATAAAAAGCGGACAGGAAAGAAACCAGACGGTTGTGCCGTTGTCTTCAAAACCTCCCGCTTCTCCCTCCTCTCCTCCAATCCCGTCGAGTTTTTCCGGCCCGGCGACACCCTCCTCGACCGAGACAACGTGGGATTGGTTGTGCTGTTGCGACCTAACAACAGCTTCAGTCATTTAAATCCCTCCTCATTCATCTGTGTCGCCAACACCCACCTTCTCTACAACCCCCGGCGAGGTGACATCAAACTGGCCCAGCTGGCAATCTTATTGGCTGAGATCAACCGGCTGTCCCGCCTCCCAAACGGGCAGGTCAACCCAGTGGTTTTATGTGGGGATTTTAACTCTGCTCCCTGGAGTCCACTGTACAGCTTCCTGACCACAGGCTGCCTGCAGTATAGTGGAATGCAGATTGGCATGGTGAGGATATTGTGCCACTCACAAACTGATCAATTAACTTATAGTTAGTAGACAGTTATGATAATTAATTCTGGTCGTTGATGGTCATTCATGCAAAACTGTCATCTGTGGTTTTCAGCTCAGTAAATCCAATTTGTTTTTGCCTGGTTTCTGTCACCTCACAGTAAACCTTGTGGTGTCCATTTCCCACTCATCAAATAAAGAAATACTCGGTGCTTCAATCCCCAACACTCACTTTTCCGTTTTGTTTTTCTTTCCCCCTTTTCTTTTCTGGGTGTTTGTGTAGGTGTCAGGTCAGGAAAACAGTCCCAGAGGTCAGCGTCTCCTCATGTCTCCAATCTGGTCTCCCAGCCTGGGAATAACCCATCAGTGCCAGTATGAAAACAAGCCTAGTGCTGAGACCTCGCCCACCAGCCCTACAGGTAAGCTTTGGAAAAGCTGTTTTCTCAAAAGAATTCTGGAAAATGTCAAAAGATTCCAGCCGGCTCGTTGTTCAGAGAGGTGGTTTCTCACACTTAGAGCACAGTGGGAGTCGGTTTGCGTCAGCTGCACTTCAGGGCATATCGTGCTTGGTTTACGTGAGAGAGCTGCCTGAGTGGAACATGCAGCCGGCAGGATAGTTGACGACCACTTGCAGTTTCTGCTCTTTTTTTCATATGGTGCTGTCAGAAATCCCACATCACTGTGTGCTTGTGAGCTGGCAGGTTAAAGACGCAGGGTGTCTGAAAGCACTTCCAGTAGTACACTGTGCACACTACATAATCAGCTGCTTAGTGTGCAAAAAGTGTGAGAAATGGTTCAAGTCGAAGAGCTGCTTCTCGATGATTTTACACTGAATGATCTTCCTGACTCGACCCTGCCTGTTTATCGAGGCCTCAGACTGGTGCTAGTAGTGCACTGGCTTGTGGACTCCCTGTGGCTGCGTTTAGCTCTGTCTCAAAGGACTTATTAGAAATCAAAATATAGCGAATCCTCTAATAATATAGAACTGTATCAGTGGTTTGCTTTTTTTCTCCTCCAGCTATTGAGGGCACAAAGTGTCCAACCATCCACTTCCAACTTTCTGACCATTATGAGTACATCATGCCTGTACTGGTATACTCCAGATAGCCATTTTTGTCGGTATGAACATATGTATGTACTTAAAATAATAAGTGTAATTATGCGTGCTTCTCTATCGGATGATGTCTAGAAAAATTCAGGCCTCCAAAGTTTAACCTGCATTTAATTTAACATCCACTTCACAGTGCAGCACGTGATTAGGCAGGTTTGACTTTGATCTACATTTATTTAATCTTTTATTCAGACTTTGCTTAGAAAGTTACTCATGTTGTCCTGGACTGTCGCCAGTTTGCCTGATAGATGTTAATAGAGTTTAGTGATTAGTGTGTTGAGCCTCATCACTAACAACCGCCTGTCCTCTTCTCTCCGTCAGCTGTAGAGGGAGCGATCTCTAATCTCAGTGTGGAGGATCTCGCTGCCAAAGCTGCTTATGAATTCAGCAGGTAAAGTCTCGCTGTCCTTCTCTCGTCACTCCCTCCTCCTTTCATTTCTGCCTTTTTAGTTCTCAGTAATTGAAAAGCTGGTTGTCGCCATAATAAAAATGGATAAACTCTCTCTAACCACGTGTATGATTCTGCAGAGCGTGGAGGATCGAGCACAGCCTGAAGCTGCAGTCGTCTTATCAACATCACCTGATGCCTGACAGGAGACCTGAGATCACCACCTGTCACTCCCGCACGGCCCTGACAGTGGATTACATCCTGTATAGTCCCGGTACGCTCTCTCACTCACACACACACACACACACAACACACAACAACACACACACACAAACAAACAAACAAAGGTCAGATTTTCTTTAGTGTTTCTATTAGTATTTAAGTCTTTTAAAATCTCAGACTTTAAAGATGGGTACATTTCCTTTAATTGCTGTAAGCGTCTATATTGGCAGTAATATGCTTTCTGTAGATGATCATGAGTCCGTCTGGGAACATAAATGTCTTTAAAATTTTGTTAATAGATTGAGCAGGCTGTTAAATCCTTTACATGTACAAACCCTTTCACTACTGCTGCTGAATGTGCCTTTATGGCTGTTTTTAGCTTCCATATCCAAATGTCCTTTGTTGACACTGAACCCTCAAAACTGTGTGACAGAGGCGTGAGAAATAAAAAACTTCTGTATGAGTTAATGTGAAAGGGTGACTGTTGTTTCTGTGCTTGGAGTGGCTTAAAAATAAGATGTGCTGTTTAAATGGAGTCGATTTCCTACTTTTTTATGGGTTAATTCATTTATTTATCTTTATGTTACCATACCGTCACTGGTGACTTTTCAAACAGTAACATCTTAAAGCTGTATTAAGTAATACCTGCTGGAAGCCACTATCTCTGAATTCCTCCTGCTTCTTCTTTAATCTCTTTAATTCAGTTTCTCTCTTTTCCCTCTGTCCTTTCTCTCTGTAAGATTTCGTTCCACCTCCCTCGCTTCCAGGTGGGCGGGGCCTCCAGCTGCTGGGCAGGCTGTCATTGGTCGGCCAGGCAGAGCTCGAGGAAGTCAACGGCCTGCCTAACCATCGGCACTCATCGGACCATCTCCCTCTCCTCGCTCG